CTCAAGCGGGACATACCTTCTTCAAAGTATTAAATCGGAGATGCTAAAAATCGGGTCTATTCAAAACTGCCCCTCTACATACGCAGTGAGTGCCAAGCTCATTATCAAATTTTGAAGACCATTGCTTTTCTCCTACACCTTATCTCACATTCCTCGGTAGACTCGTATAAGATAAAACTGATCCCTTATGCTAAGTTTCCAAAACCTCCACTTAATTGGCATATTTTTGGCACAAGGTGGCATATAGTGGATGGTGTTTCGAAACACAGGTTGCTTGAAAGCTCCGTAAAGTTGGCTTCACTTGTGAAAATTCTAGGAATGTTCGCAAGCGAACGTTCCAAGAATGTTGCACATGTGAATGTTCAAAGGGGAACGTTCCGAGAACATTGTGCATATGAATGTTCGCCAACAAACGTTTCTAGAATGTTGAGCAGCTTACCTTGTAAGGAATGTTCGCATACGAACGTTCCTAGAACGTTCCGAATGGTGTTTTAACGTTCCTTCAACATTCAGAACACCCAGGGAATGTTCGCACGACATTGGATGCTACGTGGGTGGTTTCCGACATGGTTAGCGTCATGCTTCCCTCGTGCCAACTTGCTCCGACTTTACTTGCGCTTCAGCGGTAACAAACTTGGGGAGAACAGATTTGCTGCTTTTTTTATTTAATTTGTAGTCTTATGGAGAAGGAGGTTATAAGTAATGTCATTCCATTTTAAAGGTAACTACCCTATTCTTGTCTTTTCTTATCCAAGACTGAATTAACAACATCTGGGCGAGCTGTCGATGAAACAAATTGTCGATGAAATGGTTATAATGCACTCCTGTGATACACGCGTGACGAAATGTCCCTACAGCGTGCAATCTGCGTAACGATCAAGTGTGGATAAAACGTTTGTGTCAACGAAACGTGCGTTCATATGAAATGTGTCTATAAAAAGTCCACGAAACGTAATTCCACGAAAGGGGTTTCAACGGTCGATGTGGGGAGCCACGGGAAGATTAAGCCGTTAAAGAAGCTAGAGGTTGCGATAGACTGCCACGTTTGCTGTAGTTGCAGCGTGACAGTCTGTTCCACAGAAGAGCCTACTGGAGGCGTTGCCTGTGGCATTTTACCCCTCGCGGCTAGTAACGTACTGGGCCAGCTCGTTGCCAATGACCTTTCAAGCAATGTCGTACCAAGGTTCAGAACTAACCGGCTGATTTGCGATAGCCACAAAAAGGGCAGCCATCGCTACATCAAAGTGAGAACAGCAGGGCTTGTCTTTTGAATGCCTCCAGCACAAGACGCCGAAGCGTTGTCCAAGGTATTAACGCTTGGTGAGAAGCTTGCGCTGGAGGTGGGTCAACTGAATTGCTCCTCCATGATGTTCTCACCTTGTCAGAGGCAGACCACACCGGTGCAGTGCTGCAGCTGTTAGCACAATCTTTTTCAATTGGTGCCATGACATTGCACCTCTGCAGAACGAATGCAAGATTCTAGAAAAGTGGGGAGTAAAAAAAAAAAAGAAAGACGTTTACAACTCCCTGTAACGCCGAATTAGAGCACAGCTTTTGAGGAGGAGGAAGGGAGGGTATGCTCTCCTTATCCGTACCCTCTCCTTCCCTTCTCCTCCTCCTCTATTGGGGTATTTCAATTTTGCGATATACTGTGCTGAACGATCTGAGAAATATATATATATTGTACTCTCGCTCACTGGTTGTCCGGAGAAAGGAAATATAGTTCTTACATCTGGAAGCTCCACTCTGTCTAAGTTTTGCCGGTGCCAGGAAGGTACAGCAGGAGCAAGCGGGAGAACGAGACAGTGTTAAGAGTCGACATTTTGACTAAGCTCATGATACTCTCTATGTCATCCTAATTGCGTCAGGCACCGTCAAAGACTGCACGGCGTACACTATTACCAAAGCATAAGTCTAGAAAGTGATACCAAGAATAGACACAGCAGAACAGCGAGTGCACGTCTCTCGGGGCCAATGGGATGTTTTCCTACATGACTGTATGAAGTTCTTCTTTGTCTTGCACAAAATATTTGGTGAGTGCTGTAGGCGAGAGATACAGAGCTACCATCAGCAAGCTGTTGTCAACCTTGGCTGCACAGAATGTAGCAACTTCGTGTGACGTGCCACAGAGATCGATGAGTACAGCGCAGACCCATGTGGATGGCCACTTGTATAAAGAGTACACCACGTTTTCATACATGCCTTTCTGTGATTTATGAATGGTGATATCACTTGCCTGCATAATGGTGGGTGACGCATCTCTGCTCCTCCACCTCCCCTCCTCCTTCTCTGCCTCCCCTCCTCACTCCTCCTCCTCCTCCTCGTGACGTCACTTGTGACCCTCATGACGTCACCTGTGACGTCATTATGGGAAACGTCCCATAATGCAACGCGCGGTTACGCCGACGCCACTCAAGCCGGAAACTGGCGCCTAGAAGCTGCGTTCTAAAAGAAATTTTGGTACGAAACATGTGGGCCGAACCGATCTGGGACACGTGTAAATTGGATGGATCCCCCAGAAGGAGTGTACCAACTGATGTAATCTACGAGGAATGTTTTGTGTTTTATTAACTGTAGAGCATGTTGGTAAAATTGACGATGCAGAAAGAATAAAACTCGGGACAAGGGCGGACGACAAACAAATCTTTCAAAAGATATGTTTGCCAACCCTCGTCCCGAGTTCCTTTTTTTTTCTGTGTCTATGTAGTCAAATTTTTGTCCTCTAGAAGAACCAAACGGCAGGTGCGTTCGATTTACCTGCACCACCTGCACCAGTGCAGAAAAGTGTAGGACTGTGTACTTCCGGTCGTATCTTGGTACACATACTGGAAGTACACTGCGCCCTACGCTTTTCTGCACCGGTGCGGAAGGTGCGGGTAAATCAAACGCAGCTACTGTTCCCAATTGTAAGGAGGATAGTATAGTGGCTCTATAGCACAAAGTGATAAGGGATAGACCTGAGGAGTTGGCATGGGTGACGTCGTGGTGGAGAACGACGCTGGTGATGGAATGGAGAAGCTCCCACAAACCGATTGGCGAACTCGTGGTGCTAAATTAAGCCACCATGATTTGGTGCGCATGAGGTGTACAAATGCAACAAATGTCTTAATTAACTCCATCAAGAAAGAAGGAGCGAGTGTAAAGAAAAACTATCCATGGCACGAATAAAAGAAAATATTAGGTGAAAAATTAAGCTCCACTGGATACTGCTGCACTTTTGCAAATAAAAAAGGCTGCGCGCATGGCACGCAATGAATCATGGAAAAATCTTGTATGCTGCTCCTTGGTCCCGCAGCATCTGCTATGCGCACACCAAATGACATTGGAAAAGGCAAAAGGGAGGGTTGATCAGACACCATTTCATCGAAACACGTTTTAGAGAATGGGAATATGTTTTATCGAAGCTCTGTTTAGAGAAAGCGGAGCTTCAGTTTTGAGAAACGCCGTGTATCAAAAAGGGGGCCCCGTTTAAAAAAGGCTTTCCTGCTTCGCGCGTGTATCACTAGGAAAAGTCCGGAAAAGGAGCGGGAGCAGTGCACTTGCGCGCCAACCCTGGCTCGCGTTGCCTTCGTTGCCACTGTCATCCGCTACAGCCAGTTCTCAAAATTCCTCGTTGCACTAGAAAAGCTTGCACCGTGCTTTTTGTTTTTTGTTTGTTTTGTTTTGTTGGTTTTCTGCGGGACAAAATGTCAGATTTCTCCCTCGCGTGAATATACATGGGTTGCACTGACGTCACATCGCATACTTTTGACCACCATGTAAGAGAAGGAGAGGGAAGCTGCTTCTGTAAAAGTTCTGAGCAACGGGTTATTCTTCTGTAATCTTCTGGGAGGAGAATAGCGACGACTGTGCAAATCCGGGAGGCAGAAAAGAGAATCCTGATCAGAGCCGTATATTGGGAGAGTTTGGCCAGTGGGTGTGGCGACGAAGGCGCCGGAGAGGAGAAAAGGAAATGAAAGGGAGGAGAGCGCCGAAGGAGCGAGAGAGAAAGAAGGGAGCGGAGAGGAGACGACCGCCATATTTGAGCAACGCTGTCGGAGACTGGTCGGAGAAGAGCGCTGCTGAGACTACGCGTCGTCTGCTACGGGCCGACTTCTTTTTCGCCTGAATAAACATTTACGGTCATACGCCGAAAAATCTTCACTTATTAGATTTTTAACCTACCGAAGAATAACAGAATGTCATTTTCTTGCCAGAGCCAGCGATATAAAAGGCAATAATCGAGATTTAGATGCCGATCCCACGCATTCTGCCGGGAGAATGATCGAAGATGGCGGCCCTCCCCGCTCAGCTGAGAGCAGCCGGGAGTTCACGCGCATGCGCTCATGCCTCTCGCTCTGCGCCGCGTGCTGACTGGCTCACTCGGGAGGAGGGCATTACGGCGGCGAGATCATAGACTGACCAAACTCTCCCCATATACGGCTCTGATCCTCATGAGAAGTAGAGCACTATATAGAGGAGCTATAGGCTCCTTGCACTGACGTCACATCGCACACTTTTGAACACCAAGTAAGAGGAGGAGAGGGAAGCTGCTTTTGTAAGAATTTTGAGTGACAGGTTAATCTTCTATAATCTTCTGGGGGGGAGAATAGCGACGCCTGTACAAATCCGGGAGGTACAAAGGAGGGTCCTGATAAGAGGGGAGCTCCTTCTTCCCCTCTTCTTTGGAGGGCAACGGAAATGACGTCCTGTGCAAGGAGCCTATATAGTGCTCTAATGAGAAGGGAGCTCTCTCTTCCCCTCTTCTCTGGTGGTTATCGGAGCGCTCTTTGAATGACGTCACGTTAGCAGCGATACGGGATCTCCAGCGTGCTTGACTAATTCTGGATGTGGAAGTATATTCTCGAAATACTTAAATTAACTGTTTATTTATTAAATTTAAATAGTTAATTGTTGAAATAAAATCTTCGGTAAGGTGGCGCAAGCCGCCGCCCAAATAAAAGGCCTGTTCCATTCATTTATCCATCCACTCAAAGGAGTTCGTCGCGTTTGATTTCGTCCTCGCTTGAAACTTGACGGCTTGGGCTTGGCCAGCTTGGCGCGATGAATTTTACCGCTTGCATAGCTTGCACCCGTCAACAAGCGAACAACCACCTGACCCGATGATAATGCGGAAAGCGTTCATTTGCAGCGTCATTGGCTGTCCGAATAGCAGACGTCGCGGAAGAGAGGTGGTGGGCGCGGATGTGAAGTTCTTTGCCTTCCCAAAAAACGAAAGCCTGCGGCAGCAGTGGATAGCCGCCGTGCGGCGCGATGACTCGCCGTTGAAAGAAGATGCGAGCACTGTGGATGCGAGGCTGCACAGTGCGAAGCTGTGTTCGGAGCATTTCTCGGACGACTGCTTCGACTTGTCGGCGCAGCTCAGGGCACGGTTCGGCTTCTCCAGCCGCAGCGCCAAGTCCAAGCTCAAGCCCGACGCCGTGCCCAGCATCTTCGAGCACAACAAAGAGCGCCGCCGGAACCTCGAGAGCGAGAGGAGACAAGAGGTTGAGTCGCATTCGGATCTTTCGCTATGTCATCGCGGAAGGCTGACACAAAACAATCTTGCCGGAGATAACGCGAAGCTCCGATAAGGCAAAACCGAAACTGAGTCCGTTTTCAGCCCGCAGTCGCTACGTCGCGAAACGCTGGCCGCCATAGCTGTGCCCACTCGTAGGCGCTGTAGCAAACGGTACAGACGAGCTGTCGTCGATTAGTAAATGATGCTCCATCTGATCGTGCGCTATGGTGGCCTGCAAATACAAGACATTAATCATACCAGTACTGGTTCACCCTGTGAAATGTACTGTTGTAAAAAAGTTGCAAACGATTACACAAATTAATTGTGCTGCGATCGACAGCAGCAGCTGCTGCGTCGTTGAGTGGTGTCTCAGAATATTTATTTTAAGAGCTTAGATGTGCCTTGGGAGATGTGTGAGAGGCACTTGCATGCTGCCTCTTGTGGGTAATAGTCGGGGTCCTGCGCCATTTGCTGTTCCCGGTGCAGCCCTCAATCTTCACTGCCATGTTTCCCGCTTCTCGCACAAAGAGCGAATCTTGCATGGCCTGGTCGTGTCCGAGGGGAGAGAAGGGAACGAGCGCCAAGTAGAGGCATCGCAGGATGTTCCAGAAGCCCGAAGTGAAAGCGATTAGGGAGCAATAGCCCAATAGCGCGCCTTGCGATAGATGACATGGTTGTTCTAGGGGCAACTCCGTCATACTATGAACCTTTCAATGCAAACGAGAACAAAGTGAAGGGCGATGGCGATGAGAAAAGCGAAAGCGTCATTGCAGGCTCAGCCTGATTTTGCCCAAAGGGGTGAAGGGGGTACTAATGATTATCGCTGTAAAAAATTGTACAGAAAACCAATTTACTCGCAAAAGATCTTTACTAGTGTCACATGAATGTCTGATGCTATACGAGACTCAATGTTTAGGTTTTTCTTACAACGGCAACAAATATGGAAGTCTCGATCGGTGAGGCACGTGATTGATTGCCGACTTAAAATGGGAAAGCTTCACCAATCCCATTAGGCATACGAAATTTCACTGATAAGAGAAAATTCTACACTACCGTAACAAAGGCAGTGGTGGTACAGAAGGAACTGTGCACTGCTTCTCGGTGATACATTGCACAGAGGACCTTGCTATGCATTTTATGCCCCAGCAGCACAAACATTGTCGTGCGCAGCATCTGCGAAAGAAAGGCACATCAAAGCTAGCACTCGGGCAGGAAAGGAATTCAAAGTTAAAATTTTTTTGTATTCACATGCCCCAGTTTTGACTACTATTGTCACATATGAAAAACGGGGGACGAATATAGTACGTAAAAAAATGTTTAATGAGGCTAACTTGCACCCACAAACTTAAAGAGAAAGGTGCAATGCATCTTGCGTCGGTTACGGGAGGGCGACTGGCCCTCAGTTGCACGTTACCGCCGACTTTATGCAAGTAATACGTTTAGGATTGTTCCCAACCAGAACGCTTGCTGACGACCGAGAGCGGGCTGGAGATTTCCGCAAGAATTATAAAAAAGAGATCTCTGTCGAATGGGATTCGAACCCCGTTCCTCCACATGGCAACCTCGCGTGTCGCCAACTTCGCCACTCACGTGTCATGGCTCCCCACTTTTGTTGGAGCACGTGCTTGCTCTCTTCCCTCACTCTTTGCACACCCTCCCACCATATGTGTGTGTGCGTCCGCTTGACACTTACGTAAAAGCCCATGACCAGAGTACCGTTTCACTGTGTGCAAGAACTTACGTCAAGTTGGGACTGTGGGTTGCCAGACATCCGTGTTTCGCGCGAATCTTGGCAACTGATTTGGGGAGTAGCTCGGCACGCGGCGTACGAGGTGCGGAAGGAAGTACCTGCAACTCAAAATCACTTGGGGCATGTTCTGGTCCGACTCCAGAGTGAAGGTTTTGTACCTTGATCCTCAAAAACATACTTAAAGGGGCCCTGCAAGGACTTTTTTACTGGTTTTTAATTTGCACCAAGCCTTAGCGCACTGAACGTAGTAACCTAATTAAACTTATCTTTTCTTGAATTTCGCTTTATTTTTAAAGTTATAGGCAAATTAAAATGAAAAAAACAAGCAAAAAATAACCTCCTTCATGACGTCCTTAGTCGCTTGAGTGACCGTGAACTAGAGGAGGTGTAGTGAGCTCAGCGAGCGCTCATGGCTGCCGCACTTCATGTCGACGGCTCGAGAGGGCGCCGTCAAAGCATGTTCTGGATAGGCTGTATGAAGCAAGCAGCCAGGGCGGCTCGCATTTCATTTGCTGTGCGATTAAACACTAATTCGGCATGACACTTCATTGGCCACAAACGACAGCAAACACGGGGTAAAGATCAGTTCAGAACGGGAGCCACTTCGCACTGCCATACCGCCAAACGGCCAAACCTGCTCGCAAAGGCCTTCGGAACGCTCGGATCCTCGAGCCAGTACACGACCGCAGCGCCGCTGCGTACATCCGGGACCTTTCTACGCTTGCTGCTCGTCGGTGCCTGATCCCACTACACCTTCCTAGTAGGCGCCGCCTTTTCCACCGCTTGGTGGTGGGTATGTCGACGGGTTATTTCTTGTTTCCGTACTTCATGAACTGCATTTGTTTCTTTTCCGATCTAAAATACTGCCTTTTCCTATCTAAAATACTGAACAAAAGTTACTTTTATAAATGATTCAAACGGCTCGCGCCACTTATATTTTGTATTTCGACTAAAAAGAAAGTTTTAGCGGCTCTTACCAGTAGTAAGTCCAGGACGAAAGATATCACATACCGCGCGCTTTCGGCACCTGCAATTCGGCCTCGAAAGTGGAAGAGGTTTCCGCGTCGTCCGGTTAAAATATGACACACTGATAAGTTACTTCCTCCGTGCTCGCTGGCTTGCCTGAACCCCAAGAAACGTGGAAACCGCAAAAAAGGTAGATGCTTAAATATGATTGCAGGGCCCCTTTAAGTGTCGCTGTATCTCCGTCATCGTGTGATATGACCCCCGGGAGTAAATTGGATCTACTCGATTAAGGTTTCGAACGAAGCCAACACGAGGTAGTCAAACGCTGCTGCGCAAATGGGTGTTAAGGAGGCCGCCAGACTCTTTAACCTTTAAGTGCCTTGGACAGCTGAGCTCGTCGGCCGCTTTCTGCTTAAAAATGCCATGGACGAGCTCGGCTTGTCCAGTGGTTTTTCTTGTAGCCCTCAATACCACGGACGAGCCTAGCTCGTCCGAGTGGTTTGCGGCGCTGATCGTAGATGGTAGCACTTGTTTTAGTTGCCGCCTTTTTTTTTCGCTGCCGCTGATTTTTGCGTTATAAACTTTTGAAATTTTATCGGTTATACTAGAGGACTAAAACTCCTTAATAAAAATATATGGCATTTTTAGGTTGCTTTTTAAAAAAAGGAACTGGCACTTAATGGGTTAATTCATTAGCCGGAAGAGGGGCAGAGATTGGATACAAGTGCTGTGGCTTCCGGGAGGATACAGGTTGCAGCCAAACGCAGCACTGGTGTCAGGTCTACCGTAATGGGGCTGCGAAACAACAAACTGCTAGAAGCTGCCATGTAATAGATTCTGCGTTAAAATGCCGTCAACTTGACTGTGTAGAAGGTTCTGTCCATTTGACCGTGCAAAAAGTGCAACTATTGGCCAAGAGCTACTCAACTACAGCGAGGTCTACGATTTAAATATTCATAACATTACGTACGCAGAAGACGGATACGATTTCAGACTTCTCAAATAAAGTCGAGAAAGGATTCCACGAAACAGCTACACCCTAGAACGGGTCGGCAACCTCTTTGTAGTGGGCCGATTCGCCACGATGCAGAGACGGACTGAGCTGCTGACCCTTGCTCTAAAAGAATTTACTTCGCTCGACAAGGTTGCAGTTCTTGCAAAACTTTATTTATCGTTGCAGCTCGTGACGCAGGCGCTGCAGTCGTTGAATCCACCCGCTCCATTGAAAGCGCCTCCATCTCGACCAAGAGTGCCTCCAGCGCCACCTGTGGTGCCTCCAGCGCCACCCGTGGTGCCTCCAGCGCCACCCGTGGTGCCTCCAGCGCCACCCGTGGTGCCTCCAGCGCCACCCGTGGTGCTTCTAGTGCCACCAGTGGTTTCTCCAGCGCCACCCGTGGTGCCTCCAGCGCCACCTGTGGTGCCTCCAGTGCCACCCGTGGTGGTCTCCAGAGACTTGGACAGTCCGCGCCCCTTGCTGACCTGCAGTCGACTATACGTGAAGAATGTAGGAACTCAGTCCAATGTCAGGGCGGCCCTGCAACACAAGACGACGCAGACCTGCTTCTGGAGGAAGAGTGTGGGTAAGGCTTGCAGAATACTTTTCGACAGGGCGCCGATGTGGCAATCGTAATCGATCGATCGAACGATTGACCGTGGTCGTAGAACACAACACGAACCAAATTTCGTGCGTGCCAAACACGGTAAAGGCCGGTTTACACATTTGCCTTTGACTGTGTTACGACGAGTAGAGAGCCTAGATTTGAGAGAGGGACTGGCTCAAACCGCGGAGAGCCTTTACAATTTAATGGCAGGCGCCTTCCGGGCAGATTGGTTGCTAGTGCGCATGCATTGCTTTTGCGTGTGGCGAGGAGGAAAGGCAATCGACGTTGGTCGCCTCTTTGCAGCTCGTATAGCAAACGTGGCCCACGAACCACCCGACGCCGATCGGGCACTTGGAAACACTCTGAAATCCAGGCTCACTATCGACGATGTAATGCACTGGCGCCATCTCGAATGGTCCCGGCCATGAACATTCCCGGTCCTGAACTAGACCCAAGGTTCTGCGGTCTTTGCGCGGTTAGATCAAAACGCCGTTATATCTTCGGGTAAGAACGGGTGGATGTTGGCCGGTGGCAGGGCATACTACCTTTATTGACGCGTGCTCAAAACGTCGAGTGCAGCAACGAAGAACAAAGGGAAGTAACAGCTGTGCTGCTGTGGGTTATCTAGCCAGAGCCCAGGTGATAATGGGGCGGCAAGGTTGGAAGCTGGGCTTGTTGGTACTGATTCATCGTAAAAAAAGAAGCGCACAAAACACTGGGACAAATAAGAGGACACGTACGATGGACAGGCACTCTGTTGCGCATGAACAATCGCATAAGGAACATGACGAGGCAATGCGTGGATGCAGCACGCACTGTTTACGAAAAAAATGGTCACTTATAATCTTGTCAGAGGTATTTCGAGCCTGCAATAAAAAAAATGAACCATATAACAGATCAGGAAGTGCACCTATGCAGGCTGGAGGTGAGGAAAGATACCCAATAAATGGCATTTGTCTGTCATCTTGTCTAGGCAGCCTTGGTGTAAGCAACCGCGAGTGATCCTACTGCAGCTGGTCAGTCAAACGCAATATATGAACCAGCCTTTCACTACTATACAAAGGGTCTGATAATAGGGTAACAAATACGGAGTTTGATTTAATCTTTGTAGGAGTTTGTGGAGAAGGGTCCTATTGGCATACTGTGTAGAGTCGAGAAGATAAACCAACAGGCCTAGTAATGGCGGCAAACGGAATTGTAAAAACGATCGTTCAAGCTTTCCAGGTTGTACCGGTAGTTGCCACCGTACAGATCTCGAGGCAAAGCGCTGCGAAGGGACCACCGAGGTCGTAGATACGTGTTGTCTGCTCTTCCATGGGGGACAAGGGGACTGAGGGGAAAACAAAAGCCTTATAATCAATCTAAGCAATTGCCTTTAGGGAAGTAATGCATTTCGATTACTTTGGTGGTAACTCTTCACTGTAACGGATTAATATTTTTGGGTAAATCCTTTCCAGATAAGTGGCCTTCACTCTGATCAAAGCCGTAGTGAGAGTTGGTCAATGCATCTGTTATTGTGCACCCTTAGTCCATCCCCTGTGGTGAGCGAGGCTGCACCAATGGCAATGCTTTGGTGTGGCCGTTTTTCGTTATTTGCCAACATACTAGACCCCTAATAAAAAAGACATGTAGTAAAGACTTTTTTATTGAGTATTATTTTGATTTAAAAATTCTAGAGACTGGGAAAACTAAAATAAAAAAGACAACCACATACAATCTTTTTCATACATCCTTATCTCTGTTTGTCTTACAAAATTAGTTCACCAGCCTGTCCGTGCTTTTGCCCTTTCATCCCTGGCTTTGTCGTGTTTTTTTTTTTGTTTATCACTGCTGCTTTTTTTTTTTTTCCAGGTATGAATACATTGCCACCTGAAAAGACATGGAAAGTGCGACGTCCGTGGGGGCCTAAGGGATTTTCTGGTCGAACGTCCAAAAGTCCTATTTTTCACCACCTATTTCCCCAGCCAAATGAGTATGCACCAGCTTTGTTTTTCTTTTTTTAAAGGGTTGCATTAAAGAGTGAAAATCGCAGCGAAGAGACCGACAACTTTTGACGCTGGCATGCAAAATTTATGCTTTTTAATATGTGTGGTTCATTTACATATTTATTTATTTGAAGAATACTGCCGGTTGACCTTTGTCGGCCAAGGCATAAGGGAGTATAGAATATAAGGGCATGAAATTATACAGAATTACATAAACTGACATTCTATTTAGCGAGAAATTGTAGTTGACATAATGATTATTCACTTCTAATTGAATGAGCATGTTTAATTATAAGACAGGCATGTCTGGAAATGAGTGTTGAATATTTATGTTAGGATACAAATTTTTCGATTTGCAGGCCAAACCGAAGTTGTACATCCGTGGGATGGTGATGATAGCATTTGTACTTAACTACAGTCGAATCTCGTTAATTGGAAATCGAGGGGGACCGAAAATTCGTTTGAATAAAGCAAAGTTTGAATTACCGGGAGTTTCCTTCCATAGAGACACATAGGATGGGACCTGCATGTTAGTTTGAATTATCCTCTAGCTTGAATTAAGAGAGTTTGACTAGTAGTGTTTGCTCTAAGGTCCAGCAAACTCGGAGCATTGGCTAGTTGGGTGCAAATGCTGTATTCATCCCACAAGGGTACAATCGATAGAGAGAGGCATCGTGCCGAAATCGGTTCATTTCCCGCAGCCTTCCCGAAGTCCACATCACACGTTCACCATGTGGGATAGGCTTCAATGGCTCGTAGCCGTGAAAAACAGTCAATTTGTCAATTTGTCTTTGTGGTGAATCGTGCCTTCGCCGCGAAGGAGGAAACTCGAGCAATGACATACAATCGCCGACCCGTGGTATGCGACGCGTCTCGTGTCATAGCAATTACACCAACATGTGGGACACGAACTGATGCCGGCACGATGCCCGTCTTCATCGATGCTTGGCAACTGGCAGAGGTGCAAGTCGAACTCCCGACATCTGAATGTGCAAATTGAGCTTATCCACGGGCTGCCGAACTTGCGGCACATTCTTTAGCTCCGAACCGCCTCCTCTTCCCCTCCGCAAACTTTGGTCGTAACGTCGGCGATCCAGAAGCTTATTCGAGTGGCATCTTCCCAGGAGGCCGGAGACCGAGACTGAGACAGAGTCGGAGACCGAAACCGAGTCGGAACCTGAGGAGGAGGAATCGGAGTGAGTATGGATGGTACATACGGGCGGTACATTTAAATCTTAATGGAGTGCCCAGCTCTTTCTCAAATTTATAGGCTCGCACTTTCATTTTGGATTTGCCGCTCCAAAATCTCACTCTGCGCGCTTTGGAGACTCGGGGGGGGGGGGGGGGGGGAAAGAAGGGTATGCCTGGTAACGTGAAATACCGAGATGAAGTGCAAAAGTTCCACGTTTGGCCATCTCTTGTTACTATAACTAGGGTTCCGTGCCTTTGGTAAGTGCCGACAAACCCTCGAGAAGTAACCTTCGAGACAGTTTAATTGAAATCTCGGAAAACCAAAGGGCACCTAATTGAAGTTATCCTCGAGTAAGAGGAATCCAAGCTTCCCGGGAAGAAAGCTTTTTTTGCGTCGACCCCGAACGCGGCCCGAGCACGGTCTGCGGGGCCGCTTTTTTCTTGGGAAACTACGGCCCTTATCTCGCTTTTTTTCCTGTACCGGGACACAGTACGAGTACGTATTCGGGTCGCACAGAATCCTTTGCCGCTGTTTTCTCCGGCACAAGCCCCGACGAACACCAATCTGTCATCCGACGCCGAGAAACAGCCGATCGGGGAAAAACATAATGCCCCGAAACGCCCTATATATGACGAAGAATCGAGGCTGGGGAGGCCGCACTGCGGCTTCTGGTCGTCAGCGTCCGCGTAACTTCACTCTTTTTGCACGTGACAGTTGTCACCCAGCCCTTCGAGTTTTCCTTGTTGTTTCCTGGGGATTCAAAATGAACTCGATATTCCTGCGAGAAGTTACTTGTGAAACATTACGCGTACAGAGTTCGGCTAACGGCCACTCTTTCATTATTTCTTTCATGCCGTGGGTCTTTTAACTGGGCCCCCGTGAGTATGTTGTACGTGGCTGAAATTAGGTAATCACTGAAATAGCGAGAAAAAAAATAAAATTTTAGAATTTTCGGCGGTTATCGCTGCCAAAGTGTAGTCGTTAGCACGGGCTGCGAGTTTGAACAAAATGAGAATGCTTCCTTTTCTTTTTACTTTGCATTTGCTCTACTTGGAGTACCACATATATTTTTATTATCGTTTATTCAGTCTGTATCGGTTGCAAATTTGTCTTGGAAGGCACATTTTTGTCTGCATATTTCTCGACGGATTGGGGGGGGGGTCTTTATTCCTGCGTCCAGTAACGTCGCCGGAAAAGCAGGCATTATGCGGTGTTGGAACACCGTGTTGGACGAGTCTATCCGACAGCTGTCTCATTGTTGCTTTCTTTCCCAGGTCTGAACGATCCGACAGGGATGCCACCTACTTTCCGGACGAGTCGGAAGAAGATCTGTGAGTTCGCACCCGTCTCGTGACGCGCGGGGTCTGACTTCGGTCACCGCGAGAGCGAGATCTAATTTGCCTCAATTGGAGCGAGTGACGATAGCACTCGTCGGTTCGTCTGCTAACGCGAGCTAAGAATGCGGTTTGTCTGCTTTGAAGGGATGTTCGCAGACGAGAATGAAACAATTGAAAGCACCGCACATCGACTGCCAACAGACTGGAAAAAAAGTTAATGATGGCCCGCTTTGAACCGAGTGCGTCGGCAAAGTGAGGTGGGACGCAGGCCAAAATTGTGATTGTCCGCTATTTCACGTTGCGACTACGACCGGTGGACGGAGAAGTATTAGGGACAGGCATACAGGAGGCCGCAAGACCTCTCTTGCTATTTGTAGGTTGGCGAGACGTTCTCACGAAAATATTGTTCGATTGTGAACTCCTGGTCGGGTCAAAGATGTCTCGTTGGTTGATTATGCGCATGCTGTTGCACTACGTCCAGTCGGCAGCCGATTACGCTCTCGCTTTCACCTTGACCAAAACCGAACCCCTGGAATGCGTCTCCCCGAATTGGTGCGTCGGGAAGACGCTTCGCTGGTGCCACACCGGTCTTTACGGCAAAGGGGTCATGCCACGCAAAACATAGAATCCGAGACAACTGACTTGTGTGACTACCGCAAAATGCTGAGCATCCGCCCATTCCACGATAAGTGCCCGCTTCTCAATTTTGTAGCGTTTGTAAAATACACAAAGGTAGGGTGACCAGACGTCCCGTTCTGGCCGGGACAGTCCCGTTTTTGAGGTCCGCTTCTGCCGTCTCGTCTTTTTGTCCCAATAAAGAATCATGTCCCGTTTTCGGGGCATGCTTTTTTTTATATATATATATAAGTGCGCAGACTTTTACAACCGAGTCTTGCAGGATAAAGTACTGCTTAGGAAACTTCCGTCGTCGGCAAAATACGTTCACACCAAGGAAAGACACGAAGCAGTATGGCTGTTTCCTAGACCCTAGGGGTTAGTGCAATATGGTAACGTTTTGAAATGATAGCAGTTATTTCATTAATTGCAATTTGATTAAATGTTTTCTCTCAATCTCAGTCTTACAACCCCCCCCCCCCCCCCCCTGTCCGGTGGGATGTCCCGTTTTCTACCTTGAAGAATATGGTCACCCTACACAAAGGACATATCTTTACATATTGGGGACCTAAGGAGCGTCCATCCTCCAGTTTCACACAGTTATCTTGTTTTGAGTGGGCACCTTTTTATAACAATTACTTTGGTTCTTGAGTTGTCATTGTATTTGATGTGTTTGATTCTGAAGGCTTCCTTGTCAATTTTGAGTTTTGTTTCTTAAGTTTTAATTGTGAATGAACACTTGGTTTCTTAAATTTTTTGAGGGGATCGAGGAGTAAGTAAGTTTTAATTATGTGCGAGTTTGGTTCTTAAGTTTTTGTTGAAAACAAATAGCTTGTTTCTTAAGTTTTCATTTAGAACTAAGATCTTGTTTCTTAAGTTTTCTTAATAATGAAGATTTTGTTTATTAAGTTTTAATTTTATTTGCAGACCACACTTGTGAAGTGAAGGGGCCATATTTCCAAATGTCCTCGATGTCACTGGCTTTCTCCTTTCCTTTTCTTTCTGAAAACCGACGCAATTGATTTGTTTAATTATACGAGCGTCCTAAAACTTGCGAAGCTTGTATATGTATACTAAGTAGCTTTTCAAGATCAAGGAGTAGCTTATCGGCTGCCGACTGGACGTAGCGCTTCAACACTAGTACCGTAATTTCCGGGCTATAGTCCGCTAAGTATGCATGTTTATAAGTTGAAATTTTAGGCTGTGCGGACCATCTACGCGTGCATACTTAACAGGAAAGTTGTTTTTCAATATCGTTAATTACGACGAGACATGACAGATTTTGTGAATGAAAGAGCATGTTATAGATGATTTATGTATAATACAAGCTTCTTTGTGAGCTAAAAAAGTAGACATTTGTCTAGGTGTGCCGTGTATGAGAAGATTTTCATGTCAACTAAGCGCCAGTGCGGACTATGCGGGGCATACGGACTATTTAAGCAAAAACTTATTTTTTACCCCAAATTTGACGTGCGGACTATAGCCCATAAAATACAGTAGTAGCGTAACTTTGTCACTTTTCTGTCACAACCTTTCTTGTGTGTTGCATGCTGGAGGGTGTCACTCGCGTGAACGCAAATCATTTTGTTTTTTACGCCCTACAACAGCACTGATTAAGCCCCGTCCCAGCGTGCTCGAGCCCGTGGTCATCCCAAAGAGGTCTCGGAGGAGCCCGAGGCTCTACGTTAGGTACGTATGTTACTATTTAGTTGCGCGCCGTACCTCGACTAGGCACGTTTTTAACGCAGAGCCAGTTTTAAAAGGCTGGCTTTCATGAGATCAATGTAAAGATCTGTTCGCACACTTGCATTTGCTTAGGATCAAGCTCCTGCTGTCTTTTACGACGAGGGAACACGCTGGCACGATCTGTGAGGCGACCCTGGAACTGCATTTCACTAAAGCGGAGGTTTTTCAGTATTTGCCGGATCAAATATACATACCATCTACGTGAAATGGTTGTTTATAACGTTGTCAAAAGTTTCTCGAGCCAAGAAAGAAAGAAAGATGCTTGAAAAAGTATCGAATATACAGAAATCCCGACTGTTCTATGGCTACCCGATAGACGGTGTGTTTTCTTGTCGAGATCACAAAAGGTCGTAAAGGGTAAGCAGTTGCAAGTTTGGGAACCGGCCTGAACGTTACGAAAGCACGGAAAACCGTCGTGTGGTCGCTAAATTTAGCGAGTCTCTCTAATTAATCACTAAAAATGGCGGTATTTTCACGGGCTCAATATTTCACGAATTCAGGCAAATGTGATTTTCAGAAATATTTCACGGGCCCCATTTCTCTTTTTTATTTGGATGGTATACACTGCATATTTCTTGCCATAGGGAAACATATTTGCGGGATCTATATTTTGCATTATTACGTGAGTCGTGAAATTTGCAAAAAATAGGTGGTGATGAAAATCAAGTTTTTTACAGTATAAATAATTAATATTGACGAATAATTATTTATTATGCTACAAACATGCGTGTCCTTCCACTCCACAACCTTGTCTCCCGACTTTGTTTTACATACCATAGAATTAAGATATGTCATTTCATTGCTTTGGATATATTTTTTCCCAAAAACAATTGGATAGGAACTGTGTCATGGGCTTAAAATAAAGCAACTTGGAAACGAATTTCCCTCTCTGTAAAGCATCGCAAGGCCTTTTGGCAACCCTGCATTGTACCATGTTCCAACATACAGGGACTGACATTATGACATAAAAGGCATAGTTATCTTTTTGTAAAAATTGAGAGTAAAAAAACCTGCCGAAGTCAAGCTTGGGTGCGTTGGCAGATGACCGAGTAAGCGACGCTATTTACTCTTGGTGCCATCTCCCAAGAGGCACAGCGAGCAGACAACAGAGTACGTCGTCCGCTCGTTGCACCTATCGGGAGATGGCACTACAAGTAAATAGCGTCCTTACTCTGTCGTTTGCGAACATGCCCAACCTTGACTTCGGCAAGTTTTAATGCGATAGCATTCTTTAGCTAACACCCCCCCCCCCCCCCCCCCCCCTTTCCCGGATTTCTTGGATTTTCCGACTTCCTAAAGTGCAGTAGGTACGCGCAGTAGACCATTTCAGCTGACGCTCCTTCACATTCGTGAACCCTTTGAAGGACCTGGCGACCTTGACGTCATCCTACAGGTCGTCCTAGAAGTCGTCTTTGGCTACGTTTACATGGATGCGACAGCAGCGCATTGGATCCAGTTAGCAAATCGGATCCACTTCAACCACTACGTTTACATGGATTCGGATCGACCAGTAGCGGCACCTCGTGTCGAAGGATCACAACGCAAACCTCGTGACCTTCAGATTGTTTCCGAGGTGTCCGGTTTGCCTAGCGGCATGCAAAGATAAGCTCCCGTAATCCCTCGCTCGAGCACTCGATCCGATCCTTTAGCGTATACATGGAGAGTCTCGATTCGGATTGACCATCTCAAACCACCCCGTCCCAGCGGATCGGATCCGATCGGATCCGATCCGATTCGAGTTGTTTACATGGACCGATTCGATTCGTTAACTGAATCCGATGCGCTGCAGTCGCATCCATGTAAACGTAGCCTTTGACATCATACTCTAGGACGTCGTTCTTGTGATCGCCTTAGAGGCTGTCCTAGACATTGTCCTCTAGGACGTCATCCTTGACTTCGTCCTTGAGGTCGGCCTAGACGTCGTCTTTGATGTCGTCCTCTGGGACGTCGTCCGTGGAGTTGTCCTAGACAAATGCTATCGCAATTCATACACAACCAGCAATAGTCTGTGCAGCCAATTTATTCCTTGCATGACGGTCGGGTCACATATGTCATACTGTCTGCGGACATGTTTTGCTTGAAACGAAAGGAGACGTATGCCTAGAAATTTTCCACGGTAAAGCTGACCTGCTCAGTGCACATTCGGTGAAAGTTTGAGCTTTGTACGTGCAGGCACAGATTTTTCCGGTTTATTTTCCAACGGGACACCCTGTACTACTTGGGACGCCCGATACTGTCAGTCCCTAATGGGACTATGATAGGAGAGGGCATATACGCTTTCTAACCAGGTATAAAGAAATCCTAATACAAATAGAATATGTCAGATTTATTTGATTTAGATCAGATTTATTTGATTTTAATCCGATTAATTTGATTTAAATAGCTGTAGCTAGAAAATAGCGATTCTTTATCACTACATGCATTTTTAGACATTGCGGATTGATGGATTAATCCTATACCAGTTAGAAGACGAAGCTTGCGCACAACGTTTGATTAGTAGATCCCCGACCCGCCCCGGGCGGCAAACAGGCCGAGGCTCGACGGGCCGCGTCACAACTACGTCGCGTTCACTAGCGACCACAGCTGCCTGCGCGACTCTTGAGCGCGAGCTGAGTGCGAGCTTCCAAAGTTCATTTGCAGCGGGCCACCATCGAGATTGCTGGTCTTACCAACCAAATTATGTGAGCTCGTTCTGAGAATGAGCACCGTTCTGAGTATGAGCACCGAAGCACACGATGTAGCAGACAGTGTAGCAGACGATGTAGCAGAGGTTGGTGCTCCTGCGGGTTCTAGTGATAACGTTTAGAGGGCGAAACGCGCAGGCCCTGTGTTCTAGGCGGTATCGATTAATCCCCTGGATCACAGAAAACAACGTGGAAGAATTACTGTAAATTTATATAGTACAGTTTAATTGTCTTTTTATGTAAACCTAGCATACTAGGACAAAACCCACTTGATTTATCTAGTTAGAAGCTCTGCATTTCTTTCATACTCTAGAGTGCTTACAATAAGACATCACTTTTTTAGTTTTTATTTCTTTCCTTTGCACCGATTTGCTTGGATGTGACACAACAGACGAACCAAGTGGAATGTAGCAAGAAAGCTCGATGCTCCGATTTTCTGAGAAGTGCTTTCTGCTCGTGTTCAGCCTGATATAAACCTTTCTCGATTAGTGACTATTTAATTTTAGTACAAAACAAATGCACACAGAAAGCATCAAATGATAGAGAATCGGTAAATAAAACCTATTTTGGGGATTTGTTTTGCAGGAAAGATTTAATTAAAATCATAGTAAAGGCCCACTTTAAATCTGATTTAAGTTATGATTTTTGTTCTCCACCTTGCTTTCTGGGTACATGAAAAGAAAAGTACACACAGTTGAATGATGAAAGCACAATAAAGTTTGATATCACAATTTTCTCAGGTAATGAGTTGATCAGACTGCTGAAAAAAAAAAAATGCAACAGATCAAGTGAAGTGTTTCTCAGCAATAGGCTACAATGGCACAAATGCCAAAGCGGACCCATACGCCACTCAAACTAGCAAACTCGAATCTTGCGCAGCAGTCCTTCACAGAGCCTGAAAGGAGCAAAATGGCTCCTATCACTGTATTGCCAGCTGTACCGTGTCTAAATACTGTCTCGGTGAAAGCTGCCATGATGAAAAAATAAAATTGTGATGACAAAAAAAAAAAAAAAAAGACAATATAGTATTATAATATTTATGTTGCGTGGTCAGTTCTTTATCTGCACCTAAGGTCACTGGATCCTGAGAAATGAGTGCTATTGTCTTCCCTGCCTGCTAGCCAGACACACACAGATACTAAGATACAGATGACCAAAACCTCACAAGGCGATTGACTGATTACATAGTCTCTGTTGCCATCCATAACGACTGCCATTTCGGTTCTTCCATAACTTCGACAGGGCCGTCCTGAACTAGCCGTGCCAAGATCGCTATGGAGCTTCATCGTACAGAAATCGTTCCTCACCAATATAAGCGTCCTCAGTACTGTGTATGCAATCAACTTATCAACCATGCTTATCTTCACAGGCATATTACAATGATTGCTTTTGCATATTTTAAGACTGGAAAATATTTTTCAATGCCACCAAGTTCCGCCACCATGTAGTGGCGGTGCAATTATGTGCACTCGCTTCGTCGGTGTGTGGATAATGAAATCTCGGTATACAAGAGACGTTGTTATAAACCTGTCATTGCGAATTTAGATAAGCTCACCAAGAATCGAGAGGTCAAGCAGCAACTGCTAGTTCCATGGACCGAAACGGTGACCAAACGAGAAGCTTGGCATTACTCTCTCACGATCCAGTGACTTTAGCTGCATCCATTGCTGCTGAAGAGCTTTCTGCAGCAATCGGTCAACTTCTGCATCATGGTGGCAACCGTTCTGCTATTTAGACAATGAAACGAGAAATGTGAAGCCTTTTCTTTTCTAGAAGTCAATAGAAAAATATCTAGAAATCTCGCAGTCGAAGTTAGTGTTTGTGATGAAAAACAAGTGTTTAAAATCATCTTGAGCTTCCTTTAACACAATGAATGGGTGGATGGGATGGATGAGTCCTTTGTGTCGGGTGGTAGCTTGGGCTATCCAGCCAAATGACAGCTCACACTCCTCCGCTTTAAATTCTGCCATAAATTCCCCATCTTTAAAAGTTCAATCGACCAATTTTGTGTGTTATCGCGCTTCTCTGAAACTTTTCCACCAACCTTCGAACCTCCTCTTTGGTATTGTAATCCTTTTCTTCCCGTCGCAATCCCCCATTGGATCATTACTGCTACCAGGTTGGTTGGACGTGCAAACCACGAGGTGCCATGTTAATAACATTCTGTCCCTATTTTCAGGTGAAACAAACATTCCGGGCCATGAGGAGGCAACAAAATAAAAAGTGTCTTTCGAGGTCTTGCAAGCCAGATCTCTAGTGGACAGTTTGTCAAGACAGTTAGTGGTTGTGCGTGTGTTTTTTAAAATTAAAATGTGACGGTTTTATTTGTGTGATTCTGTCCATGATGTGCCTTTTGTGGTTCTGCCTGTGGGCCTTCAAGAGTGAAAGGTTGAAGCCAAAGTAGGCATTGCTGAAGAAAGCAGTTTGAAAAGACAAGTGACACCTCATGTCATGTAATTTAGAATCACTAAGTAATTTGTCGTGATTTTGAAGGATTTCAGTCATTTTATAAAATAGCACTTTTAAAGTCTCTATATACATCTTTAACATGCCTCTTTTTATTAATTAATTAATTTATTTTGAGTAACCCACAAACAGCTCCACACCTTAGTGGTGCACTTATCAATGTCAGATAGTTAAATTGTTTGGACACAATAAAAAAATGGAAAGTTAGGACAAAACAGTGATAGTAACGCACTTTCTAAATTTATGCTCTTCATCAAAAATATCTAGGCTAACAGTCCCATATACCTGTTTTTATTCGTCAATTGAAGGTGTGTCATGGGTGCTGAGTGATATAAATCTGAAGGATGAAACAAGCAGTGAAGTCTACTAGAGCTACGAGGAATGCACAAGTGGACTTGACTTAGTAGCACTGGTGAATCAATTGTACCATTAACGTTCTTGTACAGAGGCATCAATACACGGATCCTGTTGTGCGACACGTCCGATTTCATGAGGTCACAAATCCTTTCGTAACTGCAGAAATAATTCGGATGAAGATGATCAAACAATACACAAATTAATTTACGTTGAATTACACTTGAGTTAGTTGCTCGATAAGATAGATAGCTCTTGAACAGACGACAGTGCTTTGTGGACAGACCGTAACTATAGTCCGTTGCAACTCAAGAAGGTAGGGTGAGGGAAAGGAAGGCCGGGGAGGAGGAAGCAGACAGAACGCTGGAGAAGGGGGAAACCTCCTCTCTTGAGCGTTCCACTTGCTTCCTCCTCCCCGGCCTTCTTTTTCTTCGCCCTACCTTCTTGAGTTGCAGTGGACTATAGAAAGTTTACTGAATGGTAGTCGATGGTTTACTTTATCAAAAGCTTTGGTTATACCGAAGTCCACGGCATCCGCTGTGTAAGGATGGTACTACTTGACTCGGGAAGGGACATAGGTTTGTTTCTGCAGAGCGGCCTTTCATGAAACCATGTTGATCAGGAATAATCTTCCAACAAAAATATGCATAGAGGCTGGTTTGCAGGACAGTTTTATATACTTTTGACAAACTACAGAGAGGGGAGACGAGCTGATGGTTAACCATGGATCGATTGCCAGGCTTATGCAATCAACATCAACGGAGCTTTTCCAAGCGGCAGGAAATGTTTCAGATTCAATGATGAGTTAAATATATGGAATTAAGGAAAATTATACGCACATTCATTCAATCAAACACAATGAAATGTGGTAGCTATACAGGAACGTCAATACTGAAAACAATTTGGAAAGGAAATGGTTGTAGTATGCCGTGTGCACATTGAGGACAATTTAAGGATGACCTCTAGGACGACTTCAAGGACATCGGATCACATGCGCTTCAGCTACCGGCACCTACAAGCTTACGTGACCGTGATTACGCGACCTTGAGCTTCCACCAAGGGTATTACGTGACCTTGAAGTCATGAGCTTGACTGTGGTTGGGCCTATAAAGCTACCACTTTCAAAAATAATAAAGTCCATGTATCTGTTACAGCCACTAACTGTGTGAGTGCTCACCTGTAAAGCACACCCTAGAACTGCATAGACTGCAATGTTGCAACAGATTTGTGCAAAGAAAGAAAACGGCTATGTTGATGGTGAATGCCAATGCGTTTTCACCTCGAGAAAAAAAGCAAGTTTTGCGCATTGTTCATACGCCGTGCAAAGTAGTTCTCACAAGATTTGGTTGTCGGGAGAAGAAGCAATGTTTTTGGCGTCTGAAACGCGCACCTCGATAAAATAATACATATCTACTCTAAAATGCAGCTACATTTAACTCGCCACGTAAAGGGAGAAATTAGGAATGCCCACTGAGGAGTGAGGTTTTTTACTACTGTTCTCGAGGTGAATACGAGAGAAGTCTTCCTTGCTGGCCAACATCATGGAACCTCCTTGAAATTAAATGACAACATCCGTATCTCAAACAGTAACATAGCCAGGGGGGATGTTTAAGAGGACGCTTGGGATGTCCAACAGGGGACTTTGGGAGCTCGTGGGGGGCTGAAGTCTCGTAAGCCCGTCCCCCTGGCTACGTCACTAAAAATCAGATAAGTGTTCACTGTAGTTTGTATACTCCGCGACTTTTCTTGGCAATGCAGTGGAAGGTACAGGCGTGCGTTCCCTTTCCCATTTTGCGTGTGCTCGGTCTCTCCTCCTTTCCCCATTGCCGGGGAGAGGGGGATAGCCCGCATACATTTAAGATGGGAGAGGGAACGCAGGCCTGTACCTTCCACTGCATTGCCAAGAAAAGTTATCGCGGAGTATAATGATATTGTGTTTTTCTATTTTTAACCGTGTGCTAGCATTTAAACTTCTAGAATTATGGGTCTAACGATGCAATCCTAAAGGCTGATTTGAGACACTCCTGGGAAGTCCGACTCAAATTGTTTCATAACATATTTCACGGTAAAACTGATATTGAAAGAGCGAGCTACGTTCATCATCTACATCATGAATTTGCAACGGAGGGATCACTTTAATGAGGTAAAAGAATTCTATTGCAAAACCAATCCTTTGAGAACCTTTTTTTTTTTTTTTTTCAAAAGCACACGGGATACAAACAAACTGCCAGTTTCTGTAGTGAGCATTCTGTCTAACAATGCTGCCCTTTGCACCGACGTCATAGTGTTACTATAGTCGGTGACAGGTCAAGAACGAAGTGGAAGCTCCTCCCACCCCTTTCTACTTCAGCAGAGCGAACGCTGGAGAGGAGGTCGACTCCACTCCAGCGTTCACTCTGCTAAGTGGGAAGAGATCGGAGGAGTCTCTACTTCGTTCTTGACCTGTGTGTCAGTGTCCCCTGACAAATGGTCCGAACCAAATTTTAGAACTAACTGTTGTCTCCACAGGCTGTTCATTGTTATAATAGGTGTCGCGTGATCCCAAATGTTGTATGGTATTGTAGTTTTTATATTTCCAGGTTACTATTACACCCTCGTGTTCCGCTTGACCAATATGACGTCACAGTTTAGTGTCGCCGGCCACCACCAGTCTCTTTGCGCGTAGTGAAAAACTATGAAAAACCGATAATCGCACTCTTCGATGAAGTGCGATCTTCGCTGTACGAAATGGTACACTCGCCTGCTCCTCAACCAGAAACGTCTTTCTGACTGCTCAGTAGACTGTCGCGCTCAAACACTAGCAGACGAGACACCCGATGTCGTATCAAACGGAAGGTCAGTACCATTATTACACCGTGTTTTAGCTAAGAAACCATTAAAATTTTTAAGGGCGATAGGTAGCGACAATAATTGAAACGAGGGCAACAAACGCTTGCTCCAGTTGCTGGAATACAGCAAGCGAGAGCGATTCCGAAACCGGTCACTTGGCAGCCATGACAACACCAAAAACAAAAGCGGCGTCTCGTCCCAGTTCGCGAGGACGCCCCCTAGATGGCGCCACGATGCCGCGGCGCGCCGCGACGCCAGAAAAGCGGCTTTCTTTTGCCTGCGCTCAGGTAAGAAGGGGAGCCCCAGCAGCAGCGACGGTAGGCCTAAAAAAGCAGCGAACCCGAAAATTCTCGGCCCTCGTGGGGGGAATGCTTCGCAATGTCCGCCGCTCCGTGTGTGCGCGTCCTCGGCGGTGCACGTCGGCGTCCGACGAGGTGACCGAGCGATCGCCGGGCCAGCAGCGATGAGAGCATCGCCTCCGCGCGATCAGCGACCACGTCCGTGGAGTGTGGTGCGACGACGAGAGCGGCTCTGCGGCCGCCGCCATGGATAGAATTCCTCCGCTGGATACGTTCGGATTTGTGCGTGTTGGTGCATCGCGGTGCCCGTCGCGGCCGCGCCGAGTGCGCCGTGCTTGAGCGGGACCCCCACCGAAGACCCGGACGGGGGCTGGGGGACCCCCCCTGCTCCGATGTGTGGCTGAGTTCGCGCCATCCGTTCTTGCGGACACACGCTCTCCGCTCGAGCCATCGCAATCCCCCCCTCCTCCAACCAACGCGCGCGGTCCCGATCACATGGCAACAACATGACTGATCAAACATGGAGGTTCCGATCAGTGATTCAACGCAGAAACTCTTCACCGTCTTCAGGTGATTTTGGGAGAAGATGCCAAGGAAGTTCAAAACACAAGGTCAGCACTAGTGAACCCTCTTTCCCTTTCTCCCCTCCCCCCTGTTTTAGATTGATCACAATGGTGGCGGTTTCCCCCTGTTTTTTTTCTTTCGTTTTTTTAATTTCTGGCTGGCGTTTTTGTGAACGCGCACCTTAGTTGATCCCCTGCGCGGAGCTCACGACGACGGGCTTACCGGTTCGCTCCTGTCGGACCCTCGTAATCTGTTGGTTCGTTGGTCCGCTGCTAACAGCTTCGGCAAAAATTTCGGGAGCGAGCTAGCCAGCCTTCCGCGATTCTGGTTAAATACCCCTCCTCGAAAGAAAACGCTCTAGCCGCGCGTACGAAGCCCGAATTCCCTTTTATCTTTCTGCTGTTTGTTGCAGAACGTTTTCTCTCGTTCAATCTGGTTCTACCCAACCGCCCGCACAAACAGCACTTGTCAACAGCACTTGTCACCTCAATCGTGTTGCGATCAAACCCGACGTTTGATGCTTGGTTGGCGAAGAATGACGATTATTGAGATGGGAATCGAAGATTCACAAGATAGGCAACACCTTCAAACACTACAGCGGCTCAGGTGCACACTGGTCGTTGCATATGATGTTCTTTGTGGCAGCTATTGCGGTTAGCATGTTTATGCCCTTTAGCGGACGGCTGAAACCTAAAGGGACGTGAATGCGCGCCCTGTCGTCTGCATAGAACGACAAGCTTGGTAACGTAACGTGCCCCCCAGTTGTGACAGAACAAATGGTGCAGCGAGTAGACAGAATTACCCCGAAATTGGGACACAGCTGCACAACTACACAGGCCCCCTTACGACGTCCTTGAGATTTTTCTGCGTGTTTCCATCATTGTGCTGACAGACGAGGTTTTGCGCCAGGTGGACCATCGTGGAAGGCGTCTTCCTCAGCGGTGCGCCAGACTGATTCAAATTGGGACACATCTGCGGCAGACAAAGCATTCCCGCAATTCCCGTTACATTTTCCGGTTATTTTCGGTGGCGAGCAACGTTTTTTGTCGAGCGATCCGTCAGGGTGGTGGGAACGTTCCGTCTGCTGGCCACCAACCTGCGTCTTCACTTATCCGACGTAAGCCAACTATGTTGCAGAGTGAATCGAATTGAGACATACTCCTTGGTGTAAGTAGTCCTTCTTAGAACGTTCCCGGGGCTTTTATGTCTGCTTTTTTGCTTTGTTGACAGGCCAGCTTTTCATGCGTTGGGTGTACCATCATGGCGGATGGAATGTCTCGCCTACTAGAGTCGCTGACGAAAAGAGAAGGGTGGGGTGCTTGGCCTCTAGCACATACTCGTCTTCCTCCGTGTTTTGGCTGCACATGTGTGTTTGAAGCTCAGGAGACGCCCAAGGGCTACCGAATGAGGGAGCTTGCGCTGGAGGTGGGGACAACCGGAAGGCCTCCATGCCGATTTCATCTCGTCGCTCACTCTAGCAAGTAAATAGACGCAGTGCTTATAACAGCAACATTATTGTGGAGATGTAAGACAAACTCTTCTTTAGCCATCTAACTTTCCGAGCATTTCAGTCAAATTGACGTCCGATTGAGGAGGAAATCGACAGCATGACGAGCAAGACAAGAAGTAATCGACTTCACAATCTGCACTTTTTACTGCTGATACACTGCAGAGGTGGAAATGGCAGCACTGACGTTAAGAAGCCATGCCCAGCCGAGGAAAACTGGATGCTGCCAAGCTCCGATTTGGAATGATACGTGGGAAAGGGGGCGGGGGTCTTTTCTCGTCATTGCCACCTGGCCCAACATATTTTAAAGCTTCGTTGCTCTCAAATCGACAGGATTCCATACTCTAAGGATCTGTGGGGAATTCCGGACTCCTAACAATCCCCCGAGTAAACGTTACTGAGACTTGGGGTGTTAGCTGGTGATGGTGCCAGTTTTTCCGAGACATGCCGAGCTTGGACAGCGACAGTAATCTGAGATACAAGTGGCCCGTTCACACATTTGCGTTTGCTTAATACCCAGTTCTTGTAATCTCTTACGACGAGCAAACCTGCTGGCACACTGGCGCCATATATGAGGTGACCCTCGAACAGCATTTCACTAGAGTGAAGGTTTTTTGGTATTTTTGAGATCAAATGTAAACACCATTAATGAGAAAGGGTCATTTATGGCGAAAGATTTTCAGCCAAACGAGAAGGAAAGATGCGTGAAAGAAAAAGGAAATATACGCAATTGTCTAGTGTTCGTTCGGTATTGAGTAGCACCAAATCCCTTTTGCATCAGGGCAGTCGCTCCCGAGAAAACGTTGCGGGCGCGTTTTAAGATAAATAATAAAAGTCTGTCGTCGATATCACATGGGTAAAAGAAAAAGTGAAAAGACACCAAACGTATGTGTATCCACTTCTTCGTCCGTAGTTCATGACGGTCTGGCTTGGCTTAACTTTCAAGTGGCTCGTTTGTCCGCCTTGGCTGCCCACACAAGTCAGTGCCGCTTTTCAATTAAAGTTTTTGAGGTGGGCGGGCTGTGCTTTGTCCCGGCTCATTGGGGTTCGGCGAGCTCCGGCCTCGGATTTCTCGGCAGCAGGGTGGCACTTTTCCCCCCTTTCGAGACAACGCTTTGTCGCCTCCACCCTCTCCGCCTCATTGAGGCAGCGGCTGGGGTGGCCCCGTGTTCTGCCGCACAGCCACCCGACAGATGGCGCCAGTGTATCCTCTCGTTGTAAGAGGTCTTAAGGCACACGGTCGTAAGCAGTCCAGTCGCAAGCGTGTGAGTCAGCCTTAATTGACACTCATCACGTGCCACCTGGGAAGTATATATATATATAAAACATGCCTCTGTATACTCCGTTTCCTACTTAGTGTGCAATGCTGTCAAATCTACTGGTGCGAGCGTGTGGCTTCATGAATGGCTTTGTTTGCGCGAGAATGCGTGCAAATGATCAACGAGATCAAGCCCCATGCTCGTGCCAGTAGCTTTGACAGCATTGCACACTAAGTATGAAACAGAGTATAGGTAAGCCAGGAGGTGGTACTGATGAATGCCAATCATCAAAAAGGAGTTTCTCTACCTAATGTCAGAATGACGAAGGGTTCCTGGGGGTTTCATTTCTCTCCTACGGAGTGCGTAAACTAAGCCGTCGCCTGAAAAAAAAAAAAAAAGGAAAAAATGAATTTCGAAGCTACGTTTTCAGTGTGAAAACAAGGGCTACGTTGAGAAAACAGCGCAAAAAACACAGACGAGTAGAAGAAGTGGACGAGCGCAGCGCTCGTCCCGTCTTGTCCACTTCTTTTACTCTTCTTTGTGTTCTTTGTGCTGTTTTCTCGATTTAGTCATGAACCAACCTGCCTCCACCTGAAAACAAGGAGACTACAGATAACTGGCTGGATGTTCCCTTCCTCGTGTGATTGTGTCACTGTGAGGGCATTGAATATGTCGCGTAATCCATCGAGTTCTCGGGCGGCTATTGGCTACGTGTTCTTGTTTTATTGTGCTGCCTATTAGATAAGGGGCTTGACAACTAGTGAACCAGCAAAGGTTGATTACCTCTGAGTGATAACCTTTCTTTTACTGTTTTCAGTTAAAAGGCTTCTGTCATTGACACTAAACATGTTACGTACCTGATCGGTTGATTTCAGGGAAAATAAAATGGCAGTTAAGTGCGAAAGAGAAATATGACCTTCATAAATGTTTTCTTTTTGTCAGTGAATCCGAACAAGCACGGATACCTGTAACCTGCTGCAAGTTTAGTAAACGTCAAAAGATATATTTTTTAAGTGCTACTTTCTGTGGCATAAGAGAACAAGGGAAGAGAGCGCGTTCTCAGCTTCGATAACGCCCAAAGTGGGCAAGGATATTATCGCCTATAGCTTTGGCTGCATTGTCACAAAAAGTTGACCCCGAGTATAGTTGGTCAAAGTAAGAAAGTTCTTCAGAATTCCTTTGACACTGTTCCTTCAAACATCTAAAACAACTCCCACGTGGTAATGAATGTGATACGACCTTGACGTTTAAAGTTAACGTCAGATTGTGTTGTAATATTGTGTATGTAGCCTTTGCATAGAAAGTCTGTTTAACACCCTCAGTTTTTCTTTCATGCAAGCGATCAGCTGTCGCATAACCTCGCGAGTACAGTATTTCAAAAGCCGAACTAAAACATCATGTTTTGTCTCGGATATTGTTTAGGCATGACTAAAGAGTGAGATGTAGGGAGTGCCTTGCTGCCAGTGAATGACCCCAAAGGTAAATAAGCATGAAAAAGCATTTGGTAGCAAGTGGAACTTGGTTCGGAGGCAGAATGGGTCACAATAAATAAAATGACTTGGGCAAATCATTTGTCATGGAGGACTAGCGAAACGAGATCAAACATCAGGTTACTAAAGGTCAGCCTTGTGCATGTTGCTTGAACAAAAAAGCATTTGGTTCCAATCGGTTGAAAAGCATTAAATCTGTTCAACGGTTGCTCGGAAACTAAGTGTGCTATTTTACAATTAATTTTCAATGTTTCCCGATTGTGGCTCAAAGTTGTACATTGTTTGTATATTTAAATATAAATAATCATAATACCGGTAGCTCAAAATCTCAGATTTCTTAAAGTTCTGTTGCCTACTCCATGCTGTTCTTTTTGTTCCATTTTGTGTACGACGAAAGGAAGCAGTTAAGAAGTACGGAGTTGCTTTAGCCTTAACTGCGGTGAAATGAGCAATTAAGGTTGCCCCAAAATTGTTATTGCTATCGTAAAATACCCTGGAAGTGCCCACTTTGAAAGAAAGAAATCCCAGTGTTAACATTTCCTAAACTTGGGATTTTTGCAAAATATACGTTAAGCACCCACCCTCTCCAAGGCGCTGGGTGGCATCAGCCGAAAACGTTCACCTTGCCAGCAGCAACGATGGGGATATCATGTAAAATTAAACATGCTTTCTCTAATTCCGTTCCCCCTGCCTTCAAAGCTCTTTATTGGCCGCCATTTTGGTTTTTACCGATTTGACCGGACAGGTGCCCATGTCTACCCTAGATTAACCCAGTTTTCAGTGAAAGTAGG